CTCTCCTTCTACTAGCTAAATTTCAATGAGCTTGACCTGGGAAGTTCGGTCCAACTTTGGTTGTTTCTCTGTGTTATCCATCGGGTAGTCCTCCTTTCTTTTCTCATCTTACGCAGCTCGTAAGGTGATCTAGTAACAAATTCTCGTAGCCTTTTAGTTTCATGCGACTTCTTCAACATTATCGTTGAAGGGGAATTTCACTGTCATGCAATATGTTGATACTGCAGCTCAAAATGTGTTCAGACTTTGGCTCCCCAATATCATGTTATATGACGACTCAAGTTTGATAACTAGGAATCTAACCATATTTACTTGCCTAAGGAGACGCATTCCTAAGGCTACCAGTAACGTTACTTCCCCCGGCCTAAAGGAACCACTTCGGAACCACTGAATTAATACAATGTCGTTCGCACGGGCTGTAGTTGGACCTCAAGGTCCATCTTCTCGAAACAGTGCGTGAAGATAATGTCCACTGAGCTCTCAGTGTCCATAAAGACCCTTTCAATGTCATGGTTGGCTATTTCGGTCGTGATTACTAAGGCGCCATTGTGGGGTGAGGAAACTCCTCGCAGGTCAGTGGGTCCAAACTATATAGGGGGTACCTTCCCAGCTACCTGGATCTCTTTAACCTCGTCTTTTTACCCTTAGCTCTCGCGTGGCGCTTCCTGCTTGATTTGAGTCTCCATTGGTTGGCCCTCCAACTATCATGTGTATGACCCTCTTTTTCAATGTGACAGCTCATCTCTTCCTCTTTTATCTGGCTCATTTCTATCCTTCTCAGAGTCCATGTCTCTAAGAACAAACTCTTTTAAGTGTCCAGCTCGGATTAGCCGCTTTATCTCATCCCCGAGCTCTTTGCAAGTGTCTGTCGTATGTCCATAGTCCTTGTGATAGCGACAATAAGCCTCATGATGACCTATTGCGACTTCATTTCTTATAGGGCTTTTCCATGAATTCAAAAACATGTCCTCGAGTCACTCCCAAGGTGCGTACCAGTCAAACCTCTAGCCCGGTTTCCATCCTATTTCCTCAACCTGACATCTTTTGTGACTTCGCTTTTTCTCCTTGGGTCTATGGCGTTCCTAAGGTTCTATGTCTCTCTCTTTCTCTCTCTCTCTCTCTCTCTCTCTCACTCACTCACTCTTTGCGTCTAACTGTAAGAAATCTGCCTCTGCATCCTCCATGTTAATGTATTTGGAACATCTCTCCAAAAGCTCATCGTAACACCTCGCGGGTCGTTTAGCAAACGAGTTTCTAAAAGGACCAGGTCGTAGCCCCCTCGTGAGCCCCTTTCTTAACCTTCTTTGAGGTTGAAGGCACATCAACGCACTCTTTTGTGTGAAGGGCCACATATGCCCTCAATGTTTCCTCTCTTGTTGTTGTATGTTAATACCAAGTAGGTCATTTTTTATGCTTTCGCGCACTGAAGAAATGATTAACGAACATTGAGTTGAATCCCTGGAAGTCCTTCACTGACCCTGGTGCGAGCTGGTGAAATTAGTCCTGCGCAGGCCTTTTTAGCGTAGCTAGGAACGCCCTGCAACATACTGTGTCACAATACTTGTGTAGAACGTCCATGTTTTTTAAACTCCTCAAGTGTCGCGTGGGGTCCAATAATCCATCATAAGTGAGGGTTAACTTGTGGAACCCATGCGGCAAATCTGCATCCAACACTTCGTTAATGAACAGGTGGTCGTGAAGTCGAGGACCATGTCTCCCCTCATTTTTTTTTCCTAGAGCTCACGCAGTTGAGCAGCCACGCGCTCCATGACAGGGTCTCGTCAGGTTTTTTATGGTGTTGGTGAGTTGACGAAGCGCTATGGTTTGTCGTCTCCTCGTCTGAGCGTATGCGTTGCTCTACATGTCGCACCGTGGCCTCCAATGCGATCCCGGCCTAGGGTTCCTCCACTATTTACAGTGACCTCTAGCTATAGCGATGACCCGACGCCATGACAGGACGGGTTTTCTAGCTCCAACAAGGGCCCCAACTGAATCAACTAGAGGCGTTGGATCTCGGTGATGGGTGTTCTTGGCGACTCCTTATTGTCGAGCCACCCCAAGGGTGGCCCTAACCCCCAAAGTCGTGTCTGTAACCACCCATCCTCATCAACCCTTCTCCTTGTGTTGGTTCTTCTCCGCCATGTATAGAAAGATCTAGTATGGATTTGTGAAAAGATTCAGTCCTATCTCAACCTTGGTATAACTGGATGTCACACAAACGATGCCAATTTCATTGTGACCTACCAAATAACTTCGGTTCTAGCTATTCAGATCTCCAAAAACTCCAGTTGATGATCCTAATAATCGGGTCACATGCGATGGAGTTATTTGTCACTAGGCTGGATATCTACAAAATAAGGTCGAGAGGTACTCCCGGCGTTCACACTCCGACGATCAGTTTAGTATGAGATCTAAAAGGAATTGTAATTGAAAATATTAAAGATGTAAGGTGGGGAAGAAGAAGTACTTTATTTCGTACCTTACCCATATTTATACTACAATTACATTGGTGCCCAATTAATTGTGTGTCTTGGTGCCCAATAATTGCGCAAAAGTACAACAGGCTGCCTAGGGGGACAGCTGAGTATTCGGGTGGGTTGTCGAGATTCGTTCTTATCCTCATGGTTGTGCTTATCTTGACGTGATCACACTGGGTGTTTCTCAGGTCTTTCTGTTTATCCTGGTTCGAAGTGTGCCTCAAGACTCGCTCATGTCTCTAGGTCTTTCAACCAACCCACACACAAGTAGTTAACCATGATGATATGAGCTATTAGGTCACTCAACTTCACCTCATACTCTTCATTAGGTCGAGTTCTAGTGCGTCGAGTACTCGAATTGGGTGTAACAGCCGTTGAACCATGGTGCAACCCAGTTTATTGTCTCCGACTACCTAAATAGTCAGGTAAACTGGTCCGGTCGAGCCTAGCATACATCGAGCTATATTGCTAACTATATCGATTCTCCCACAGTTAATGGTTAATTTGGTATAATGAATATGACAAACACGATTTTAGGTACGAAATGTATATATATAAGTTTGTATTTATTAGAAATTGTACGGTTTTCACGCTAAAAAATATTTCTTTCTAAATAAAAATAAATAAATTTAAACATTAGTTTTTACTCTCATTTTCATTATCCTTTCGGTAAAGTTTTCTTTAGCATCCGTGGTGAGACTTTTATTTTTATTTTAGACAATGTGATATCAATAATTTATCTAAACCTATTGATTAACTTATTAAAAAGTTCAATCATTTTATTTCTACCTGATATGTTTTTATTATTATTTTTAGGGATGCAATATCAGTAACTATAGATTAAACTTTCAAAAAATTTACAATTTTTTTTTTTCAAACGATAGATTATCTTATAAACTAAAAAACAGAGTACAATGAGTCCGAGGAACTCAAGCTCATACAAATCCCACAATACACAACCAGAGAACCACTCCAAACGGTGGCCTAACAACACACGTACAAACTAGCATCTAAAGGCGAATACAAAGATTCGACACCTTCAGAGCAATACACACAACTAACCTAAATACCAACCAAAAGAAAAAAAACACAACCAAAATACATAAGAGGCCACTGAACATAAGAACCTAGCCTCTAGAATCCATAACTAACTACAATGAACCGATTGACTGAAATTCTCTCCATTCCCTTAATGTCGAACGAACAATGATATGTGTTTGTCCCATTTTTGTTGCGTTTTTCCTTGTTATTTTTCTTTTCTTTTTCTCCCATATTAGGTCTTTTCGTTAGTTTTTAGTTCGTTTTGTAGGTTATTGCGTGTTTTCCTCTTTTTGGAGTCTTTCTTTATTTTTTGGTCGTTTCTCGGTTTTCTCCGCTTTTGTGTTCGTTTGTGGTGTGCAGGTCAGGTGCCTCGTCTATTGTAAATTAAAGGACAAAAATATTTTGAGCGAGCTTAATTTGCAGAGCGTTTCGTTGGCAACACACAGGAAAAAAAAAATCCAATTCCGATACCAGACGAGCCCGAACGACTCCAAAATGTGATGTAATGTGAGCTGCCCAGGCCCCGCGCGCCCGCCACGCCGCGCCACGCACCACGACAGCAACTGAGGCTCCAGCTTTCTGCCCATCGCGTCGCGCCCGATACCACGCCGCGCCACCAAGATTCCCCGTGCCGCGGCACATCCATCGCGCCATGAAGACCGCATCTACCACGCCGTGCCCGCGCCACGACAAGGACTGCAGCTCCCACCATCCCGCATGCCACGCCGCGCAGAACCCTCACGCCGCGGCACTTCACTGCTCCGCGCCGTGCCGCCCCAGCCTCGCGCTGTGGACCCTATTCTCTATAAATATGCGTGCGGACATCGTGAAAATATTATCTCTCCTTCCGGGGTGAAAACCCTAGGTCGAGAAAACACCAAAACTCTTCTCTTCCCCTTCTTTTCCTCTCATCTTCTCCATCGTTTTTCTTCCT